AGGCATCCACAGCTACAAACAACTTGCATTCAAGTAAGATGTGCAATGAATGTGTAGGAAGTATTTACAGCAGCTAATGTATACTGCGCAGTAAAACAAGTATTTTGCAAAGACTACAGAATAAAAATAAATGTTGCACAGTCTGAAATTGTTGAATGTATGTAAGAAAAAATTTACTCTGCAGTAGAAGAAAAATACATGAATTGTAAGAGAGAAAGGTATATGCATATTCATGTAGAGGTTTATAAATAGTACAGGTGAAAAAATATAGGAAAAGAAATATATTGCACAGGGGAATTAGATTTCACTGTTGATTATTTCACAAGGAGAGGTAAGATAAAAGGAGGGGGCATGGACTGTGAGTGTGTTCATACACAGATACAGACATGGAGATAGATATTTTCAGCAAACGCTTTGAAACGATTAAATTGCAGATGTTGGGATGAATGAATCACTATTTCCTTCAATGAAAAACAATAATCCAGACAAACCCTGTATCCTTTTGCTGAAAGTTGAGTCTTGACAGCACTCTTTTCACCACAGACAGTTAAGTTTCGGCTCTAACTCCAGGTTTGTTAGAGGTGTTGATGCTGTGTGTGTGTGTGTGTGTGTGTGTGTGATATGGTGTGTCTGACTCGACCTTGGGAGCACTGCTGGGTGCCATTGATTTGTTTACCTGTGTGCTCCTGACAGTTTCTCATTAGGTTTCTTTTGCACAACACTTCCAGAAGAGTAGGCCAGAGTCTGCACTTCACAGCCGACAATGCGTGATCAATGTACCTGATAGATCGGTGCTGGCAATATAATTCTGTTGAATGGCTGTTTAATGGATGTGAGCGCTCCATTTAGTAGCCACAATAAGGTGCCTTTTTGTGACTGGGGCGGCATTGTGGGCTGTATGAAGAGGAAAGCAATATCTTGAAAGAAGGGCTATGTTAAAGTTACAAAGGAAGAAGAGAGAGAAACTGTGTTTCATCACACTGGTATTAGAAAGCATTTGCATAGTGTAGCAGGAAATACAATAAAGCATCATTAAGACTCTGCAATTTTTTTTTTTATTAAAATAGCAAGAAGGCAGTTTGCAGAACCTTTTAAACGCAGGATAAATACAGGAATAAATGCGACACAATAATGAAAAAACAGTTTCCTGTGAATTTGTGGACCTCTTATAGTTCTGTTCTTATTTTCTTGTAAACAATTACAACTTTTCCCTCCGAATGCCTCCAATATTGGATGTAAACACAGCACCTTTGGATCTGCTGTATAATAATGCTCTTACCAGCAGAGCTGCACAGTATTGGGGCTGCTTATAAATTAAACAAACTGCACCATTTAGAGCAGAGCTTTATGGAAATTAGCTTCCCTAACTTTGTTGCTCTTTTCCAATATGATTCTACTTTGGGGAAAAGCTCCTACTAAAAAACATATTTTTTCATATTAACTTCACACATCTTCATAAATAATTTGACATGGTCACAAGGAGGCAGTGTTGTCACTCTCCTCACAATCCTTCTGCCTGCACTGGAATGTGTTGATGGAAGGAAGCCGCTTATTTAAGGTGTTAAATAAGTGCTCCTCATATGCCACTGTAATCCTGTCCATTTCCACCGGGCCAAAAATAAAGTGGAAATTGGAGGCTTTCTGGCTCTGGATTCCCCAGTTCATGCTCCCTCTGTGACACAGAGTGACACAGCAATTAGCTTGCGGACAAATCAAGGTCTAATTACTTCTCAGGTGACGAGACCCCGATGACATCCGCTGGCTGTAAGGGGAATTTTATGAAGACTGAAAGCTGACAAGACAAGTGTCTGCATTTAAATCAGTGAGGATTTACATCAAGTCACCGGGAAGGAGACTTGCAGCTCTGATTGGATCCCCACCTCTTGTTAAGAGAGGAAGAAACACTGACTCTGAATGTGTGCAGACATCAAAATAAGGGTGTATATACCATATATAGCACCCTGAGGCGCTGCTCAGGCTGTCCAGGTCTAGGTGTAGTTAACATCATATTTATCGAGCTGGGACAGGCTGAGGGGTGAGAGAAGGGGGCAGCCATTCTCTAATGATCAAAATAACACTTTGTCAATGTAATAGCCCACTGTTCTTCATCCTTTACACCCGCTGACAGAACATTTCTCATTGCTTTGTTTACACCAGTGCTGCTGCCCTTGTGGTCAGCTGTGACATATATAAAAATGTTGCCCCATAAACCATCATTATTTTCATTGCAACTGATGTATTGCAATCACTTAGCGGTGGGAACAAGCGTCTTGAGGATGACATATAGGCACCCGCAACTTTGATTCAAACATCAATGGCAGTGCGAGGCTTTGTTTATGAAGACGGGGAGCAACAGATGGCAAGCATATCTATAAATAAGTCGCTCTTCTGAATAGGAGATTAGTGCATTTGAGCCGGTTTTTAATGGTCTCCGGGAGAGATTAAAAAGTAAGCTGATTCATAATGCGTTTCTCTATGCACCGAATCACTCATAAACAAGAGTCTGGAAAGATCTGTGTAAAACAATCTCTCAACATGCTTAAGATGAGAAGTTGTATGTATCAGAGGAAAGCACGGCACATGTGTTGTCTGCACGGCTGCAATTTCATAAATCTTACAATCATTACAAGGTCGAAATAATTAAAAAGCATTGTAAAGTAAGTATCACACAGTCTGCATTTTGCCCTTGTATATAGATCACTGCAGACCTTACAACCCTGCATACCTCACCAAGCAAAATGTGCATATCATCTCCCATTTCTTATATATATATATATATATATATATATATATATATATATATATATATATATAAATATCATCATTAGAGCCTGGAGCTGTTATTCCAGAGCGCAAGCCACAAAAGCAAAATAACCAATAGTACATTCCAAAGTTCACCGAGGATATAACGTTAATAAATATACATAAACCCATCATGGTGTTAGCCTCTGGGTCACATTTTCTCCAAGTTATTGAAATAGAATGGAGAAGAAGAAAAATCTCAATTATATAACCAGCACTGATCAGCCTACAGATAGCCACCCACCTGAGGCTACCTTGGCATCCTCCACAAATATTGACAGAACTCTTATCTTTTTTTCCCACATTTTCTTACAAACATGCCTGTATACAAATCCTGTTCTTCCCAGCAGTGAATGCCCTAAATTCTTCACAATGGTCTTTTTTGCATTCATTGTATGTTTCCAGGAACTAACTGCAAGCCTCAGGAAGTCTGATAAAGTGTATTGTGACTGTATCGTTGGATATCAGCTGTCTGGATAAGCCCTACATCTGTTTTTTTTTTCTTCTTCTTGCAAGCATAGTGTCACTGTCTGTTCTGTGTTGCAGAACTGGAGACTCATCAAATTAGTCTGTCATAATGTCAGGGGCTTTATGTGGCCTTGTTTTCTTTCTTTATTTAATGAATTCAAAAACACGCCCGGGGGGGACTCATGCTTGACCTATAAGAAGGTGAATGGATTTGCTGAGATGTATTGACAGGTTGTCCTAACAAGTAAAAGCAACCTAAGGAGTCATGCAGCCCTAATCAATGGCTTAAATGAGTAAAGAGGACAATTATGTGGCCTTCCGAGATGCTCCTGTAACTGTAATGACCCATTTGAAATACAACAGGTTCAGCGCTGTATCTATAAGCATACCTCATCTGAAGATATGAGACCTGTCAAGTACTATAATATATATATATATATATATATATATATATATATATATATATCCAATGCCACATGTCAGTTATGCCTCACCTTCATCAGGATTAGGACTGTGTGTTTTCAAATATAGCTCTGTATCCTCTGAATAGATCTATCCGCAATTATCATGGTTCATTTGTACGCCTTCACTTTCACATATAAATATAGAGACAATCCTGGGACATAAATTATATAGGAAGAAAAAAAAATCTGTCTAATGACTCATTGTGCGAGTGCATGTCTTACTCATCAAGAAGTTTACAGATATAATATGTAATCGTACTTTTCAGTATTGCTGGAAATGAAAACATTTTCATTCCTCTTCTAAGAATGAAATAACTTTTGAAGAAGATTTAAAAATGGCTTAAAGACTCAATCAGTTATACATTATTGTAAAGGTACATGCTGAATTACAGTCCTCAACAAGCCTAAACATGAAAAACACATGCAATACATTTATACGAAATCTGAGAAGACATCATTTGAGTCTGTTTTGAAAGGTAATCGATGGCATTGTATCATTGTGCTTTTGAACTTAGTATAATTGCAATTATCTTTTAACTCTATGAGGACAATATGGAAGCCAGCTTGCTATGCTGGAAACTCAAGATTGATATTCCCTGTCAGAGCTGAAAGACAACAACAATTAGCTGACTAATGCCAAGTCCTTCTGTAATGTGCATGTTTAAAGATAGAGCTCCATAGAGTGTGTGTGTGTGTGTGTGTGTGTGTGTGTGTGTGTGTGTGTGTGTGTGTGTGTGTGTGTGTGTGTGTGTGTGTGTGTGTGTGTGTGTGTGTGTGTGTGTCATCAACACAACATGCTTTGTTAGTTTTAATGTTGACTGACATCAGACTCGTGCACTTCCTTCAGCTCAGTGTTTGTGAAATGCCGCCCATGTTCATGATAACTTTATGATAATGATATCGTAATGGCGGGACTCAGCACCGCGGACAGCTCCCGCGCCTCGCTCCGCCCCCCCCCCCCCTTTCTTTCTACCGGCTGCGTGTCGCGCGTGGCATCCAATAGCTGCAGCTGCTTCACTTCAGCTCTGCATACAACAGCGTGAGCCTCAAACAGCCTGTCCACCCAGAAAGGAGAGAGGGACCCCTTTACTCCGGTATAGTGATGCGAAGCGGGGCTCTGCTGGCTGAACAACACTTCCATGGGATAAAAGCTTCCGGTCACATTTAACCACTAACTGTGCGTTCATGTTGCACGAGGACCAAGCAATGCTCTGGTAGCGCGAGCGCGAATGACACTATTGCCCGCTTTTTTTTTGCCTCCAAAAGACATACGGAGCTTCCTTGGAGCCGTTTGGACATTGAGCAAGTTTTGTTTGTTATTTTCTCGAAATACACTTGAGTCTTTTTCTTGGAGCAACCACCCCCCCTCCCCCCGAGCCGAGGACGAGATGGAGAGCGAGAAGTACTTGCCGGAGCTTATGGCAGAGAAGGACACGCTGGATCCGTCTTTTCAGCACTCCCTGCGGCTACTGGATCAAGGTAAACATCCGTGGTTAAATACTGAAGTAAACAGTTTAGCTGCGTGAAAACAGTGCGAGTCTAAAGCACTCTGTTCAGGTTTAACGCTTTGGTGATGGGCTGCAGGCTACATGACTCCACCAGTCCGCCTACTTCAAGTTATAAATAAGAGGTTTTGTGGGTCTACTTACAATTTCCTGTTTGGTCTCACTAAAATAGCGAGGTCCTCTTTGCATCATTGCTGTTTTGTCAAGTTGTTATTGAGCTAAATGTGCCATGTGAAGCCTTCTTGATGAATTAAGGTTGGGGCAGGTTTGATAGAAGACTACATTTCAAAGCCCTGAGGTCAAGAAACTTTTGACATGCATTGGCCAGGCATTTAAAAAAAAAAAAAAGGGCATTATTGACACTTTTAAATTAGTATTTTGTTGCTGGTTTTCATCTTGCAGAAACCTGGAAAAATACTTATGAAGGTAAGAAATAACAAAATGAATATGTCAAAAAGTAGAGCCAGCTGTTTATGGGTGGAATCAGCAGTGAAACACCGTTTGACATCCCACTTTGTAGGCTGCAGTCATCCCTGTCCCATGCAGACGTGTGTAAGCCGTGGAGGAATAATCACACTTTTATTTAAATGTACATGTGTGTCCTCCTTTGAAGAAGTGGACGTGACTGAAATGGATTCATGAACGGATGGAGCAGCTCGCAGACTGCTTTAATTAATCCGTTGCACAGCCTTCTGCTTTGAAGCTGTCGGAATTTTTTGCAAACACTCCTTCAGACGCAGCCCCGTGGAGCTCCTCATGTGGGAAGTGCACTGTTATAGCATCCAAGTGCCTCCTTCAAGTACCACTCACGGGCTCTGTCTAGAGTCTAGAAGACTGCTGGCTCTGAAAGACAACACGCAAAGAGAAGCTGCACTGTAACCAATTCTATTGCAGCCCCTAGAAGTAAGCTGGTTTTGTTCAGTCAGCCGTGTCCCCTCTGGTCACTGCTTTCCAAACTTGGAACACCAGGAGATCCTTAAAAGGGTTTCCAAAGATGTGAGGCAATGTGAGGCATTGATTTAATTTTAATGTTGTTTACTTGCTTGGAGTTTACAAAAGTGACAAGACTATACGGTAATAATGACTCTTATTGAGCCTTTTATTTGAGTCCAGCGTTACTTCAGGGCTGCTGATAAATGTACTTTCAGTGATGATTAGTCGGCTGTGCAGGTGATTTAACTAGAACTTAATTTCAGAAATGTCAGCTAACAATTTCAGGTCACCTTACCACTATTTTTTTTCTTGTTTAACACATTTTATTTAGGATAGCACATGCGGCAAAGGGCCGAGGTCAGATTCAGACCCATGGTCTCTGCGACAAGGACGATAGCCTCTGTACACGGGGCGTGCAACATAACCACTAGACTTCCGGCACCCCTAAACACTTATTTTTTTAAAGATGCATTTTCATGTTCAGCAGTTCCAGGATTTGAGTTTGCAATTAATTGTTATCATTTTTCCTCTATCTGTTACCAGTCTGTCAGGGTTTACAGTTCAGAAACATGATCGTGATAGAAATGTTCTGTGACCTGCCTTTGTAGCAGGGAGGACACATGTTAATTTAAGAATCTGCATATTTTCTTTGTCATTAAATCACAGTGGAGTAACATTAAGTAGGAACATACTGAAAATGTCTCTCACTAGTTTCAGCAAACATGGGGCCATTAATAAGCCTGATATTTCATTTATAAAAGCTGCTTATAGTTATTTTCAAGCTTGAACAAGGAAATGATTGGCATTTAAATGACGCGAGTATTAACGATCGTGAGATTAGGCTCTGATTTGTTTAATGTCGATCAACTTATCAACTAACTGGCTGGGAAATGAAAGAAATGAAGTTACATTTTGACTTTTAACACAATAATTCCCCACTACTAGATTTATTCATGTGGATTTTATATATTTTTTGCTAAAAGTAATTTGAATTTTAATCTGCTCATTTGAAAACCTCCTGGAATTGAAAAAGGGCAAAATGTAAAATTCCACCTTCACACAGTATATGATCACTTTTTTAATATTGTGATTTATAAAAAAAACTGGCCGTGTTCTCATTGAATCACTGACTGCTGCTATTCATTCAGTGTATGTTGGAGTAATGGATGTAATGGCCTGACACTATCAGTTGCAGATGGAGTCTCATTTGAAAGAACAAAGCGAGGTTAATGCATCTTGCAGTGAGCTGATTCATGTACAGTAAAGGTAAATGTATTCCAGTCGGGGAGGGAGATAAGGCTGTGTTTTACTCAGCACTTTTGTTATCTGCTGCTTTTATTACTCAAATCTGGGTTAGTCTTTGTTTCTCGAAGAACACATATTCACCTAAAAAGAACTGAATACTAAACACCAGTTAAAAGAAAACCATTTCTCCTCTGTTAAAATATTTTATCCATATAGCAGGTTCTTCTTAGTTATAGCAAGATTGGCCTTTTCAAAAATCCAATAGAAATGATGGAATATTTAGAGCATGAGGCTGCACAGCTGAAAAGAGTGTAAATGCTTCCCCTGTGTTTTTCATTTTAAATAGTTTAATGTAACATGAGCTCTCGAAGTAACACGTCCAAAAAAAGTTAGTTTGTGATATATTTGGTGAGGGCAAACACTGCAGTTGGACACCATCGCAAGCGGCAGAATTAATCCGTGACATTTTATGAAGTAAGCAGAACTCTGCGGTGCACAAAATTTGGCCGAAACAGTCTGCCACAACTCCAAAACTGTAAATACTGTTATCTCTCTCTTACACAACAGATGGAACAGGATGAGGCTTAATAGAGCACTTCTTCTGCCATCTTGCTGATGAGTTCTGGACCTGATTATGCAATTGGCAGGGGATGCAGAGAACACAGCTAGAGTAACTGGAGTTACTGCATGCAAGCGGTGACTATGAGATTATTTCAGGTCCGGAGAGACTCCCATTGAGGAGAAATTAGGGGAGCATTGTGTTGTGAGCTCGGGGACGGGGGGGGCTTTGATGAATTCGGGTCGTTCACAGTGCTCAAGCCTCATACAGTCTGCAGGAAAGACACTTGGAGCTGAAGGAATATCTTAAGCCAAAATAAGAGCCAGGCAGGACCAGCAGCCTGCATGGAATAAAAAAAATCCTCAGCAGAATACTAATGACAGGCTTCTAGGTGCAAAAACACCTCCGGAGGCATGAAGTGCATCTGTTATTTACATGAAATCAGCGCTGCTCGGCAGAACACGGGGGCACAAGGGCTGCAAGCAACACTTTTTGAAAAAAAGGAAAAGAAAAGGCCGTTACACAATTTTTTGGGAGTAGGGTAGTTCTTCTTGACCTTGAAAATCATAATCCTTGGCTGTCACTTTATTTTTTAAACCTCCAATGTGGCAAAACTCTGGACTATTGTTGTTGTCTTTTAAAACAGAAAAATAGCTTAGCTGTGTTAGCAGGTCATTACACCAAAGCGCTAGAAAGAAGAAGATAAGAAATGTGTGGAAAATGTTAGCTAACCTGCTAAATGAAACCTTTACAAATAGGTGTCTGCTGGTAGTGTATTTGATGCATGATTCAGTTCCAAATTAATCAAAGAAAATAAAGAAAATAAATCCATAAATAATGTAAACAAAGTCTTGATGTACAATAAAGCTAAAGGCTTCCATGGGGTGTGTTGGGGTGGGGGGAAACATCAGATAATCAACCTTAAAAAACAAAACAGGGGATCATCGTTCATCTTTATATTATACATATTCAATGCAGTTAAAAATACTCTGCAAAATTAAATTATGTAAGCAAAGAAATACTAATGTAAGCACTGTACAAACAACTAAAAAGCATTTTTTCTAACGTGTCTAAGTGTTTAGTAATACACAGTTCATGCTTCTAGGTTACATCAAAGTACTGCACATATCATCGTTAATATTATCTTTATCGCTGTAATTATTCCAGCTGTGAAGATTTTGCACCATTTATAAAGAAAATTGCTCAGAATACAACCTTTTTTTAAATTTCCTACAAAGCTTGAGTAAACAGTAACACGTTAAAAAAAAAATGTAAAAAGTCACTGCCTGCCCCAGATGTATTCTGTTTGTTGAGGAGGAGGATGCGGAGCAGCGTGCAGCCCACTCTGAATGTTTTAGGACCTCTGGCCCAGTTTGAACGTCCTAACCTCGGTGCTGCACAGACGCTCCACATCCAGTGCTTTTTAATTGGATATTCCACAGCGGGAGCCCGGCACAGTGTTTGCATTACATTAGCTGCCTCAGCTAGCTTCCCCATAAAAGAAAAACAATAACAAAAAACACACACATTATCTGCACAAACTGAGCAGGTGTGAAAGGCATTCCTATCCTCCGATGCCCCATCGTTAATTCATACATTTCCATCTCATCAACAGCACAGTGGGGTATTTTTAGCCGTGCTTAAGTTTTGCTTCGAGTGAGAGCAGTTCCTGGGTTAGAATGCCCAGAAGTGAGCAAAAATAAGCTTTGGCAGAGGATCAAAGGCAGAGATATCGTTTTGTTGGGGAAACAGTGCTTGATAGCGATAATGATCTGTGGATCCTCGGCTGGCCGACACGCTGAGCCACACAGTGAGGTAGAGGCGCAGCCGCGGCTCTGAACCTCGGTCTGAAGCAGAGAGTCGACTAGTGATTTGACCCGCTCATGTAGTGAACTTGCAAGTGAACTGTAAGAGGGCAGACAGGGGAGCTGGAGAAACCCGCTCTGCATTCAGACAAGCAGTGGAAGGCTGCTGAGCGGTGCTGTGGGGAAGAGGTGTTTGCAGAGCTCTGTCTCTGCTCTGCTACAGCTCCCACTGGAATCAATGTAGGCCAGGACTAATGCAGGCAGACCCCCAGCTATAAAACATAACAGCTCCTCGTTTACAGACGCGACAAGTCACTGGGCTGCATTGATTTCACTGCTAATGTGGGGATGCATGTTATAGCAGCGATAATGAGCTGATGAAGCTGTGATCTAGCTCTTTTTATGGTTAAAATGTCAAACCTGGAATATTAA